GAATAATCAAAACCTAGAGAAGTAAGACTGATATCTTCCCCTTTTTACTAGTAAAGATGATGATGAGAACTTCAATCATGCAAGCTTTTCTTGCACTTATCGTCTTGCAAAACAGCAAGCGTAATCAAATGTGCCCTGATTGAAAATGTCTTAGGACCGAACCACTTTATTGCCTAGCACTAAGGCACAGATACTAGGTGCAGGCCTTAAAACATTAAGATACAGGAATTTTAATATGCAAGTAATACATGATAGTCTCATGTTACCTTGCCATGAGCTCCATTTTCCCTCTGTGCATGCAGAAGATCCATGAGATGGCTTCTCTTATCAGACTCAATAACAAATTCAACCCTTTGAACAATCAAATCCGTACTTGAACCAACCCTCCCAACAGCCAAGAATATGTAATTTGAAAGAAAATCAGAGGCAAGTCTCTGCAAAGCCAGCAATTCACAAAGAACTATGTGATGTATTCCAGATAGCCTTCTTTTTATTATAAAAAACTCATAATTATCTTGATTGCACTAGAAATTTTCTCTAAAGCAAAATTTAAGTGCTCCGACCTAATGGCAAGGGTGAACACAGTTTTACTCTGATTAGATAACAGTTTCCATTTTCTACAAAACATATATAGAGGTAGAAAAAATTGAAACAGGCACAGCGGTATATTCCAGACGGACATGAAACTCACTCTAAGCTAAAAAATTCTGCCGTTATATTTGAAAACATGAGTGGAATATATCAAGAAATACAGCTATAACCAACATGGAAACCTTATTTAACAGTTATAAACCTGTATCTCTCTAGGAAAGGTGGCACTAAACAACATTGTTTGTCTCACACCGCGATTAGGCATGTCCATTTGTTCCACTATCTTTCTGATCTGTGGTTCAAACCCCATATCAAGCATGCGATCTGCCTCATCAAGGGCCAGGTACCTAATCATCATCAATGACAATATCGCCCTCTCTAGCAAATCAACCAATCGTCCGGGAGTTGCCACAAGAATATCAACTCCTCTGTCCAGCTCTCGTAACTAAGTATAAAACAAAGAACTAGTTAAATGAAATATTATTTACTAATAAGTAGGGACTTGTAAGGAGACTAATAAGCTTAAAAGTCGGTAGATTTTACAGAAAGAGAGAAGATAAATGAAAGATCGCATAAGAACATAAAAGTTGAAAGTTGGGCAACATACTTTGAAATAGAACAAAACTATGTATCCTTGATACTTAATCTAAACAAGCTAGTATCCTTTCACCACCATTCAACATTACCACATATTCAAGGGAGAATATATCCAACAGCTGGTGAAACACAAGCAACTACTTTTCCACTCCAGCTCAATGAGGACGTTATTGTAATTAGACCTTAATAAAAGAAAAGAAAGAAAGAAGCTACAACCGATTTGAGACAAACCAAGAACTGATTTGAGACCCCTTCCACTTTTGTTAGTTCCATTTGTGAAGGGGGGACAAAAAAGTAAAACAAAATAAGTTTTTGAGACAAATCCAATAATGTGGTTAATCTCAATATATAAATAAAGCCTCCAATTTGTAGTACAAGTAGATATAGCATAGAAAAGTTAATTAGATTTGCATGAAACGCAGTAAACAATAACCACACATGTTAAAAGGGAAGTGGGATTTATAGGAAGAACCTTCTGTGATGCGGCATAAGATGGCCAATTGCATTAAAAGAGAAGAAATAGAGCAAAAATGATACTCAAAACCAAATTCAAGGCGATAACAACCTGTTGATTAATTGGTGCTCCTCCATAAGCAACTACCACCTTGACACCAGTTTGATAGGAGAACTTCTTAGCCTCATCATGAATCTAAAAGTGTATCACTATCAACAAAATCAATACAACAATTCATTAAACCATTCTAAAAGATTACATTACATGTTCAAAGGATCCCACCTGACAAGATAGTTCCCTTGTGGGGGATAGAATAAGAGCAAGAGGGTAAACAGCTCGTCCTACACGCGGTCTCTGCACATACTGCTCCCGCATAATGCCACTAATAATTGGAAAGCAAAAAGCAGCTGTCTTCCCTGACCCAGTTTGAGCACAAGCCATTAGATCTCTCCCTGCCAATGCTATAGGGATAGCATGACGTTGAATCGGAGTCGGTTTCACATACTTGCACCTTCTAATGTTTTGATTCAACAGCTCCCCTAAATCTATCTCAGCAAATGTATTTACAGGCCGTGGTACATTTTCACCACTAGTTTCCACAGGAATATCCTCGTAAGCATCGAAATTGATTCCGGTATTCTCTTGCTCGCCGGAAGCCTGTTCGACAACATCATCAAATGGGTTTACGTCCCTTTCTCTCTTATCCCAGCCCCTATTTCTATTATTCCAACCACCTCCGCTCCCACCTCGTCCAACTAGAGCTCCAGTATAACCATATCCCGAACCTGAATGCCCCGGTTCGGGATTAGGTGCACCACCGCCGTTCCATCGGGACCCGCTAGCGGTTCCACTAAAACCCGGCCTCTCAGTAGCGGGACCTGGCAGGCTAGGTGCGTCTGAAGCTTGACGGTTACGAAGGTGCGGCGGGACATAAGCGGATCGAGTAGGACGAGGTGCGGAACTGTTGTCTGAAACTGGAATTTCAGATGGAGAGCTTGCTACAGAATCTGCCCACGAAGTTCTCATTATTTCGCGAACCTAAGAAAACCAAATAAATATCCTAACAAAAAACAAAAAAAAAATCCTCCACAAATTCTGCTTATCCTCTCCCTTCTTGTAGATCACACCTGATCAATGAAAATGCAAGCAAACACGACGAATAGAAAACATTAATTTAACACACACAAAAGTCTGCTATTGATAAACACACACAATGCTGAATACGGAAAAAGAATTAAAAGAAAAACTACGAGAATCGATGAGAGCAGCAGAAACCTTGTTTGGAAATTCTTTTGAAGTTGAGGTCAGGAAGCTAAAACTCGGCTGCCTTTATTTATTTACCTTATTTTTTATGATTTTCAAATTAAAATCAAAGGTTCTTCTTTTCTCTTATTTTCTTATGAGTTGTTTGGTTGCGCAGCTAGGGAAAATCCAAACGTGAGATAATCTATATAAAAAATTCGGGGACCGTAAATTCGGGGTGTGCGTCATAAATAAAAGCTCCCTAAATCTACGCTTATTTATAGTAAATGTTTTGATTTAATTACCATATTTATAGTATTATTGAAAGAAAAGTTATGTAAATTTTAATTTATATAAATTTATTTATTTTAATATTGTACGTCTGTTTAGAGTTTAGATATTATAATTATAGATTTTAATAATTACATTCAGTTTTAGAATTTAGAGTTTGAAGTTTCAAATGTAAAATTTTAAGATTAAAAGTTTTACACCTTATTGCATTCCAATAGAAAACCCCAGCAGAAGAAATAGCGACAAAATTATCGAAACATCGTGATCGGGAGGAGGAAGAGCACCGGATAGCCTACCATCGTTGATAAGTACGGTACCAACAGATAACGTCAATCTCGTGCAGCATGTGACAAGCATTGGAGAGGGAAGAGAAGATGTTCCCATGGAAGATATCTCGTCTGAACAACCTCACATGACATATATCATGAAAAACCCTAATAAAATAATCAAAACACTGAACGTAGGAGAAGGGTTTCAAAATGCGATCCGAAATGTGATAGTGCCCGTGAAATAGTGGTAGTGCCGCTGTTCGAATTACCCGTTACATTCATAATAGCATCCAATAGTACCTGCGACGGCCACAATCACGTTAAACAGGAAATGACCAAAAACACAATTACGATCGCGATTTGAAACCCTGGACAAGAGATGTTTTGCAAACATTGTGATTGGAAAATCTAACCCAAAGAACCCTCTATGTACAATAACAAAGGAGGATGAAATAAAACTAATCGATGGAGACTGCGTTATAGATAAAACTGGGGATTTTCCTACAATAAAATTCTCCGAGAGAATTCACAATCTAATCGAACAGAACATGCGAAGGTCGGTTATAATCCGTTTGCTAGGTAGGTCGATAGGTTTCAAAGCTCTCGAAACAAGAATTATGGCACTCTGGAAATTAAAAGGAAGTTTTCAACTCATTGACATAAAGAATAATTATTTCATCGTCAGGTTCGAACAAGAGGAAGACTACGTGAAAGTATTGACGGAAGGTCCATGGACAATATACAGAAGTTATCTTACCGTTCAGCCGTGGAGTAGTTCGTTCTCTATGCTCGAGAAACATCCGTCACATGTCGTAGTTTGGATTCGATTACCGGGATTACCCTATAACTATTACAAAAAAGCCCTGTTCAATATGATTGCATCGACCATCGGAAGCATTGTGAAGGTGGACTACAATACAAGCAAAGGTGAAAGGGACACGTTTGTAAGATTAGCCGTAGTGGCTGACCTTAGTAAACCCTTGCTTCCATGCATAGGGATCGATAGTTTCATACAAAAACTTGAATACGAAGGACTTCAACTGATATGCTTTAAATGTGGAGTTTACGGACACACCAAGGAACAATGCGAGGACTTCAAACATTCAAAAGCACCAAACCAGGAAGAAGGCACAAGTAACTCAGGGAATTGCCAGAATCCACAAACGAACCATCTTACAAACAACGAACCAAGAAAGGAGACATATGGCTCTTGGATGGTGGCCGAAACAAGGAGGCGAAAACCGAGGAGGAAACTACCCAGAAGAATGAACGAAATCATCAGCAATTTTCCATGCGGGGATCTCGATTCACAATCTTACAGAGGGAGATCACAGAAAATGAACAAACTGACCACATAACCAAAGCAGTAGAGGAGCAAAGGTTTGAAAGAAATCAACGAACTTTTAGGGAGCAAATCCTAACAAGGGAGAAGAGAAGGAATAACCAAGAAAATAATGGGACAAGCTCAAATCATATACTAAAACCTCAGGTAACAGGAAGGAAAATAGAAGAAACACAAAGAAAAGAATATAGGTACCAATGGGAAGAAGTTTGTAATGCATGGAAAAGCACACCTGAGTCCGGAAACATCTACTACACAAGCCATAATGGAAGACTTGACAGGAAGTAATGCAGAAAAAACATCATTGGAAAACATTACGGTGATACCTAGCCAAGAAGGACAAACACCTGAAGTCTCGTTGCAAGAATTGATTAGGGAGGACGGTAGGCATACAACTCTCTCAATTTTGTAGAAGAACCACATCTTGAAGGAAGGTACAGGAAAAGGTAGAGCAAGAACTGGAGGTCCCATCCGCACAAGCAAGGAAGGTACAAGAAGAGACTTCAAAATTAAGAAACAGTACAGACAAAAACCACTGGACAAACCTAAAAACTCTGACTGGGTAGATTCAGTTTGAAAAAAGGTAGATGCACTAGTGTCACTGAACACAAACAACACAAAAACAAGTAATTGTGAATCTGACGTTGTGAAGGATGATGCAAGTGGTGCTTCTCATATCTCGGGGACACAGGTTTCCGATCACATGCTAAACAACATGGTTGATGTTGTAGTACAAGATGGTACAGGGCTATATGATGATCTAGCATAGACTTACATTACACTCCTCCAAATAATAATGGTTAAGCTAGCTTTCTGGAATTGCTAGGGGGCGACAAGCTCCTCATTCAGAAGAATATTCAAGGATATGGTTAGAAAACATAAACCGCAGGTCGTAGCATTCCTAGAAACGAGAATCAGTATCACAACAGCTGATGGAGTAATAAAAAAATTAGGGTTCGCGAACTCATTTCAAATAGAGTCACAAGGATTCAGTGGCGGTATTTGTATCCTTTGGGTAGAGGTTATAGAGATGGATATACAAAGTGGCCAACCAATTTGTACACGGAAAATGTAGACACAAGGACAGTAATAAATGGTTCTACTATACTGCAGTATATGCAAGTCCACAAGCGGAAACCAGGAAATTGCTTTGGAATAAAATCGAACTCTTGGATCCTAGAGATAAGGAAGCATGGATACTCGGAGGTGATTTTAACGCCATTCTAAGCTATAAAGAAAGAAGAGGAGGCTCACCACGGGGAAACGGAACTAGAAAAGATTTCGCGGATTTCATTTTTGACTCAGGACTACAAGACGTACGTTTTCTGGGACCCAAATTTACATGGAATAAAGGCAATTTATATCGAAGGCTGGACAGATGCTTAATCAATGAAGAATGGATGAAGCAATTTCAAGAATCCTTAGTTCTTCATTTAGAAAGAATGGGCTTCGACCACCGACCATTAATACTCCAAACAAGAATAAGCGAATCATCAAGAAGAAACGGGCCATTTCGCTTCTTAGCAGCCTGGAACGACCACCCACTTTTCAAGGAATTTCTGGCAAATAATTGGGATAAAGCAAAACACGTTTTATCAAATGTGGAGGATTTCAAAACAAATGTCCAAGTATGGAACCGAGAGATCTTTGGGCATATAGGCAGAAAGAAAAGAAGACTAGTCGCTCGACTGAAAGGCATCGAGAAATCCTCATCGATCTGGAAAAACAACTTAAAGCATAATTGGATGTTGTGCTAGAACAAGAAGAATCCCTTTGGTTTCAAAAAACAAGAAACAAGTGGATACTTCATGGTGACAAAAAGATGCGGTTCTTCCATGTATCTACCATAAGCAGGCGAAGGAAAAACACGATAGTGGCTCTCAAAACAGCATACAACGAATGGTGTACGGATCAGGAACAATTAAATCAAATGGATGTACAATTTACCGACAATTATTCACAAGTGTGGGTGGAGATGGCCACAATTATGAAGTACTAGGAAAATTCCCTCTCATCAAACCTGAGCAGATAAAAGAAATGATGCGACCTGTAAACAAGAAGGAAATAAAAAACATAATCATGGCAATGAACCCATGGAAGGCTCCCGGGGTGGACGACATGCACACAATCTTCTACCAATGCAATTGGCCAATCGTAGGGGATTCATTTTGCCAACTAGTCCAGAATTTCTTCAATGGAAGCCCATTAGATGAATACTTGAATCGCACTCTACTTGTACTGCTACCAAAAACGAAGTCACCAGAGAGCTTGAGTCAATACCGACCTATAAGCTTGTGTGGAGTATTTGATGCAGGGGGATCCGAGACAGATGATACTGAGCTGTCAGATTGCACCTTGATGGTGCTGAGATACCATGAATTGGCAGATCAGCGCAAAGGCGGGAATTGATTGTGACATGTTCCTCATTGGGGTCGTTTTGAATATGTTTCAATCTTTTGGCCATAACTTTGGCTACAGGTGTCAGAATCGCGCATAAGACCCCAATCCGGAAAGCTCTTTTCGACGCGCACGTTGTCTACATTGAGATATGCTCCATGTGACCTTTTTTTCAACCTCAAATTCTGTCGTTTTCCCCTCCGAATCACTAGATTTAAATATTTTTTACTATTTATGATAATATTTCGATTGTCAATTAGGAAGTCAATTTAAATCCGATTTAGGCCAGATTTTTTGGAGATTACTTATTTTATTTCGAATTTCAATTTAGAGTGATTTTCAGGATTTTTCTATTTTTGGCAAAATTCGAATAAAGACGATTTTTGGCTATAACAATCCGACTTGTGGACTGATTTTGGCATGGTTTGATTTTATAATATTTTATAAAACCCTAGAGACTTTTTTTCTCTGGTTTTTTTGGGCGAATTTTCTCTTGTGAATCATCTGTTGGAGCGCCTGCAGGATAATCATTATTCTGTCCGGCGTCAGTTGGTGTCAGAGCTTCAACATCTTCCTGGGAAATTTCACCAGTTTTAATGGCTGGAGGTCGTGGTCGTGGTCGTCGTGAGCAGGTTCCGAATGAGGAAGCCCAACGCCGTGATCGCAGCGTTCAGGATGTGATGATTGCGGATTTGCAGAGGCAAGTCGCAGAATTAACCCAGCGCCTGGCGGCGCAAGTCTTCGAGAATCGTGAGGCCTCTGATCACGATACCAATTCCACTTTCGAAAACCCATATCACAATCGTGCTCTATTCCAAGAGCACCGTGGTCTGGAGGAGCGTCATGGATACCTCGGTTTTTGGGTCGATCTCCCTGAGTTTTATGGTACGTTACAGACCGAGGGATTCGTGAATTGAATTAATGAAGTAGAGCGTATTTTTTAATATAAGAAAGTCCCCGATCGTGTGAAAGTGAAACTGATCGCCATCAAACTCAAGGGCAGAGCATCTGCGTGGTGGGAACAGTTGCGACTTTCACGAGAAAGACAGGGCAAGGCCAAGATCACTGATTGGGAGAAGATGAAGAAGAAGATGAAGGGTCACTTCCTTCCCTTCGGCTACACACAAACCTTATTTCAGCGACTTCATGTGTTGAGGCAGGGCGCACGATCAGTCGATGATTACACGGAGGAGTTTTACCAATTGGTCGCCCGGAACGATTTATCTGAGACAGAGGAGCAAATGGTGGCGCGGTATTTGAGGGGTTTATGCCAGCCCTTACAAGATGTCCTCACCCTTCATTCACTGTAGAGTGTTTCGGAAGCTTACCAGCGTGCACTTGCTGTTGAAAAATAGCAAAACAGGAGACCAGTGATCAGGAACGATCACAACAGTCGGCCAGTTCGTCCTCAGGATTCCCGTCCTGCTCAACAGCCACCGCAGGGTAGTTCTAACCCTACTATTAGATGTTTTCGTTGTGGTGAACAAGGGCATAGGGTGACTGATTGCAGAAAGCCTGCTAGTCAAAAGGGCAAAAATTTGTTGATTGAGGAAAACGCGGAAGACGAGACTGAAGAGATTGGTGAACTCGTGTATGACGATGATGAGACTGATGATGTGATGTATAGAGATGGTCATGAGACTCTGGTCATTCGCAAGAGTCTACTTACTCCCAAGGGTGATTCAGGGGACGATTGGTTTAGAACCAATATTTTCCACACGACCTGCACAGTTGCAGATAAAGTCTGCAAAATGATCATTGACAGCGGCAGTTGTGAGAATGTAGTGTCCAAGGAGGTTGTCCAGAAATTGCAGTTTAAGACGGAACGTCATCCTAAGCCATACAAGCTGTCATGGCTAAATAAAGGCAGTGAGGTAACAGTTGATAGGCGATGCCTCGTGTCTTTTTCAATTGGTAGAAAATATTTTGATAATGCTTGGTGTGATGTTGTGTCTATGGATGCGTGTCATATATTGTTGGGTCGACCCTACCAGTATGATCGCAGTGTCATTCATGATGGACGGAAGAATACATATTCCCTTAGCATCAAGGGAAAAAAGATTGTGTTGGCACCCCGACGGGAAGGACTCACTCCTACCCCAGTAACCCATAATAATACTCTGCTTTCTATGTCCAGGTTTTTAGATGAGATTGAGCATGGGGACGTGGTCTATGCCTTACTACCTTGCCAGAACAATGCAGTAGACGTGGATGCATATTTACCAGTAGAGGTGCAGCGGCTGCTAGCAGAATTCTCTAACTTGATGTCAGAGGATCTTCCTCCTGGGCTACCACCTATGAGGGATATTCAGCATCAAATTGACCTTGTTCCTGGTTCAAGTTTGCCAAATCGACTAGCATATCGCCTCAGTCCCAAGGAGGCTGAAGAGTTGCAGCGACAGGTGGAAGAGTTGTTGGAGAGGGGCTATATCCGAGAGAGTATGAGACCATGTGCAGTCCCTACTCTACTAGTGCCAAAGAAAGATGGTTCTTGGCGTATGTGTGTTGACAGCCGAGCGATCAACAAAATTACAGTGAAGTACCGGTTTCCAATTCCCCGTCTAGATGATATGTTGGATCAACTATCTGGTTCTAAGGTCTTCTCAAAAATTGACCTTAAGAGCGGTTACCACCAAATCAGAATAAGACCTGGAGATGAGTGGAAGACGGCATTTAAAACGCCACAAGGGTTGTATGAGTGGATGGTCATGCCTTTCAGGCTATCCAATGCGCCCAGTACATTCATGAGATTTATGCATCAGGTCTTGCGGCCTTTTATGGGGAAATTTGTTGTAGTTTACTTTGATGATATCCTCGTTTATAGTCCGACATGGACTTCACACTTCGATCACCTCCGTGCTGTTTTTGAGATGCTGAAAATGGAGTGCTTGTTTGCCAATCAAAAGAAGTGTTCTTTCTTACTTCTGTGACTTTTCTTGGTTTTGTTGTGTCTACTGATGGTGTTCATACAGATCAGTCAAAGATAGATGCAGTCTTGGAGTGGCCCAGACCAAGGACCTTACATGACATCCGAAGTTTCCATGGCTTGGCGTCTTTTTACCACCGATTCATTAGACATTTCAGTACTCTGATCCCCTATCACAGAGTGCCTCAAGGGGCGTGATTTCCAGTGGTCTGAGGAGGCAGAGGCCAGTTTTCAACTGGTCAAGCAGAAGATGATCGAGGCTCTAGTTTTGGCACTTCCAGATTTTGACAAAGTGTTCGAGGTAAATTGTGATGCATCTGGCGTTGGCATTGGTGGTGTTCTGAGTCAGGCAGGTCATCCGGTTGCTTTTTTTAGTGAAAAACTATCGGGATCAAAGAAAAATTATTCCACTTATGATCTGGAGTTCTATGCCATAGTTCAGTCCCTGAAGCATTGGCGTCACTACCTAGTACAGAAGGAGTTTATTCTGTTTACCAATCATGAGTCCTTGAAGTACATCAATGGCCAACACAAGCTGAGTAGACGTCATGCCAAGTGGGTGGCATACTTGCAAGAATTCACTTTTACGCTGAGGCACCAAGCAGGGAGTTTGAACCGCGTCGCAGATGCCCTGAGCCGTTGTACCTTACTTCTCACCACCATGAGTACTAAAGTTGCAGGCTTTGAGACATTCACATATATGTATGCAACTGATCCTTCATTTGGAAGGATATTTCAGGAGGTAACTGAGGGTCACCGTCATGATTTTGTTTTGCATAATGGGTATCTGTTTCATGGATTACAGTTGTGCATTCCAGATTGTTCATTGAGGCAGCAAATTATAAGTGAACTCCATAATGAGGGACACTTTGGTCGAGATAAGACCTTGGCCCTTATTTCTTCTGACTTTTATTGGCCCAAGTTGACTAGTGATGTGGCCCATTATGTGGACCGTTGTTATGTGTGCCAGCGGTCTAAGGGAGTTCTCACCAATGCGGGCTTGTACACTCCTTTACCTGTTCCTGAAGCTCCTTGGTTCGATGTCAGCATGGATTTTGTACTAGGCTTACCCCGCACCTAAAGGGCCTCGGATTCTATCTTTGTTGTGGTTGACAGGTTTTCCAAGATGACTCATTTTGTAGCTTGTAGAAAGACTATGGATGCTGACCGGATTGCCCATCTCTATTTCAAGGAGATTGTGTGTTTACATGGTGTTCCTCGATCCATCACTTCAAATCGTGATACTAAGTTCATCAGTCATTTCTGGAAGAGCCTGTGGGGGAAACTGGGAACGCATTTGAATTTCAGTAGCGCCTACCACCCCCAGACAGATGGCCAGACCGAGGTGGTGAACCGAAGTTTGGGAAACCTTTTGAGGTGTTAGGCAGGAACGAAGCCGAAGCAGTGGGATTTGGCATTGCCTCAGGCAGAATT